GTGGCAGCGCCGCCCCGTGCCGTGCCGCCGCAGCCGCGTCCGCTCTGCGCGGCGAGAGAAACAAGAGAACATGCACAGATTACGGTGATGGCGTTGTACGGGGGATATATGGGGGTGCGCGGGGAGAGAAACAAGAGAACATGCACAGATTACAGTGATAGCGTTGTACGGGGGATTTCTGGGGGTGCGCGGGGAGAGAAACAAGAGAACATGCACAGATTACAGTGATAGCGTTGTACGGGGGATTTCTGGGGGTGCGCGGGGAGAGAAACAAGAGAACATGCACAGATTACAGTGATGGCGCTGTACGGGGGATATCTGGGGGTGCGCGGGGAGAGAGACAAGAGAGCATCACCACTGAGCATGTTAGTGAGGGCGCTGTACGGGGGATATCTGGGGGTGCGCGAGGAGAGAGACAAGAGAGCATCACCACTGCGCGTATTACAGTGATGGCATTGTACGGGGGATAACTGGGGGCCTTGCTTGTGTGTGTGTGTGGACATCTGATGAAGTACAATGGAACATCACAGGTACGTTTGCGACGGTGACGATGTCACAGGAACGTTCGCGGTGGTGACGATGTCACAGGTACGTTCACGGTGGTGACGATGTCACAGGTACGTTCGCGGTGGTGACGATGTCACAGGTACGTTCGCGGTGGTGACGATGTCACAGGAACGTTCGCGGTGGTGACGATGTCACAGGTACGTTCGCGGTGGTGACGATGTCACAGGAACGTTCGCGGTGGTGACGATGTCACAGGAACGTTCGCGGTGGTGACGATGTCACAGGTGCTTATAAACCATGTCCCATTGTGTTTGTTATGTTGTACTGCGTTGCATTATATTGTGACGGGTCATATCATGTTCCACCATGATGCGTCCCGTACCCTTGTAATGTGTTACATTCATCCATGCCACGTAACGTTGTGTTGTGATGTGTCGCATTCTATTTTTCCATGTTCCGTACCTGTGTAAAGTTTTGCACCTCTGTGTTCTAACGTTGCATTTGGCTGCGACATATTGCATCGTCACCACCGCGAACGTACCTGTGACATCGTCACCACCGCGAACGTACCTGTGACATCGTCACCACCGCGAACGTACCTGTGACATCGAACGAACGAAGGTACTCGCGGCGCGGCTTGCAGTGCTTGCAAACCTCGATGAACATGTTGCCATGGACCTCGGACAACGCTGACCGTGGTTGACCGCTTCGCAGGTGCAGACCGTCACAGTTCTGCGAGAGCACGTGAGACACCTGCAAGTACAGGTGTTAACGGTGAGAGAGAAACGATGGTTAACAATTAACAGGTGTTAACGATAGGTGCAGAGTTAGAACATGTGACACCTGCAAGCATATGCATCACCTATCCCATTTGCAAAACTGTTGAGCAATAAACCTATCATTCATCCATACGTACATCTACGCATCGAGGTATTTAAACACCCGCCCTTTTACAATCTGCCCCTACATCCATCCATCCATTCATGCAACCACCCATCCATCCACCCACCCATCCATCCATCCATCCATCTATCCATCCGACCATCCACCTGTCCATCCATCCATCCTTCCGTCATCCGTCCATCCACCCATCTATCCACCCATCCATCCGTCCGTCCATCCATCCATCCATCTATCCATCCATCCATTCATCCATTCACAAGTCCGTGTATCCTTCTCTCATCCGCCCATCCATCCATCTATCCATCCACTCATCCGTCCATCCATCCATCCGCCCATCCATCCATCTATCCACCCACCCTCCATCCATCCATCCGCCCATCCATCCATCCATCCACCCACCC